CTTCCATTCGCTTTCAAATAGTCATCTTTGCTCAGCCAAGTGATGATCGAATATGGGCCTTCCAGCTTACAAACGTGGAAAGACGAGAGAATACGAGGGAGGAGAAAATTGGGATAAATCAAGGAAATCCTCATCATTACTATGAGCAGACTTTTCAGGGTTTCGCGAACAAAAATGGCACGATTCGTGCCCCTAGCGCCTTTTTCAACGCAATTCCGAGCAGAGAAACACCCCATGCGGGCTGCATTATTCTCTTCACCGGTGGGGTATCGTTTCACAAAACTTATGCAGTCAGCGGAGCTGTCATGACTGTCACGCAACTTGAACAAAATCTCCAAGGTAACAGACTAGTTCTGAAGCAAACAAAAGCCGATTACCTGTAATGTGTGGCATCCCTGACCCCTTCCCAACGTTCTGGCGGTTCTGGTAGTTTGAATCGTCGCTCACCAATTGGCGGTTTTGCAAGCGGAATACCCTTAACGAGTCAAATAGTCCAAGACCTGGTTGGAAATACTGTTTCATGCGCAGGTTTCTACGAGACCCTGAAACGTATCACCTCACAAAAGGTGCCAAGCCCATGAGAACTTTTTGATAGGCATCTGTCTGTCGCCACTGATGCTAAGGTCACAAACAATTATCAGAGCACAGAAATTTATGCAAGAATTTGGGAGAAGACTCCTTCATGGGCCTCTAAACTGTGGCACCTATGTGAAGAAAGCAACTATAAACTTCCTTTTGAATAGTGGAAGACAGTAAAAAATGTCACAAGAATGGGACCCTTGTTTGTCTTTCCAGCGCTAATTTTCGCGCCAACAAGGGGCCCATTGTTTTTGTTAGTCACTGAATGAACCAGCAGTCGCATTCAATAAGAACAAGCTCCAAATGCAAGAATGAGAACCATTACTGTTGAAAATACCTTGAAAATATGGCACGGTTGACCATCCACTGAACGAATCGGCATCCCTTTTAAGAAGCCATAAGACGTGTTGACGATCCATGGATTAGCAGATGGTAATACAGAGAACAAAAAGAGTAGTTTTACGCTCATCAAGCAGGTCAGATGACCATTTGCTGGTAGGTGAATGCAAGGTGGACAGCTAGTGATAAGACCGTGTTACATGGTTCGTATCAGTCATCAAAGGGCACCGTTGACGACATCTCGTGGATAGAGCGGTCCTGAAAACGTCAGAAGGGTAACTCCTCAAAAAGGGCTCTGGTCAAACGATAAAGCAGGAGCCGATTTCCTCGGTATTTTCACATTACAGTATCCTTCCAGAGCGATCCATCCAATTTGACTGCAGCGTTCGACATGAAGCAGTTATCATACTCGACTGCCTACACGTAGGCGAAGGTATGTGGAGATTTTCTTAGCCCTTAGTGAATGATAATGGCGAAGTTTAAATTACTAAATAGTATGGGACAAGTTCAGCAAAGAGCTGTGCACTGGAATAATTACTTTTATCTTTGTAAAACAGGTGAAGAGAAATGTTGGAGACTATTACTTTCATCGTCTCTTGCTTTTACACCGGCGAGCCAAAGGCAATCTACCCCCTACC